GGCTATCAGATCCCCTGGAACTAAAGTTGTAGACACTTGTGAGCGTCCTGATGTGTGCAAAGTTGCAAACACAAGTCCTCTGCAGGATCAGTAAGTACTGCCAGCTCCAGCCCCTTGAGTTGCTGAGTTTTTTAGGACAATTTGTACAGACACAGATACCTAATTTAGCAGGTAAATGTAAGTGAAGAAAAAGGGTCTAGCATGCTAGCTAATTTTCTGTCTAGCACAGTGGGTATCTTTCTATAGCAATTCTAGAAACTGCTATGACATGGTCTGTATCAGCGGTACTCAACTTCCTAAGGCTGTGACCCTATTCTACAGTGTCTCATGCTGTGACCCCCGAGCATAAGATATTTTCATTGCTACTTTATAACTGTAATTTTGCTACTGTTATGAATTATAATGTAAGGGATCACAATGCACAGGCTGAGAACCTCTGTTCTATGACATGCTTCTGTGTAATGTCCAACAGTGTCTTTTAATAAAAGAAATTTGCCAGAAAGATTATTTTGTTTTCTTGTTAAGCACATTTATCATTAACCTTGCTACTGGTCTTACAAGCTTCTTGATAAGAACACTGTGATCAGTTACTATGCTGGCTTTGAAAAGTGAATTCTAAAGGGTGGCTTTTTAGCTTCGAACACTTTTCTGATCGTTAGGAAGGAATCCTGGGAATAATATATTAAGAACCACTATTTGTATACTTTCCTGCCTTAGAAAAATCTGACTAGCTGGGCAATGGTGGCACATACCCTGAATCCCAGCACTAACTTGGTAGGCAGAGAGATCTCTGAGTTTGAAGCCATCCTGGTCTACAGAGAGCAAGCTAATTTCAGGACAGCTAGAACTACACACAAAAATTCTATCTTGAAAAACCAAAAAAAAAAAAAGTCTGTTCTAATTACTGTTACATTAGTTTATTTTGTGTGCACATGTACCTGCATGTGCACTCCCGTAGGTGCCATGCAGCACTTGTAGAGGGTCAGAGAACAACTTGGGGATTGAGGTCAAAGGTCAGTTTGTCAGCCTGCAAGTACTTTTACCTGGTGAGCCATATCAAAGGCCCTTTTCTTCTTCTTTTCTAAACACTCAAGTTTCACCAGCTTTATGGCTCTAATCGCCTCCTCTTCTGTTTTCCCTCTTCTCACTGTGGGACCCAGGCTCAGCTGGAATTCCTGGGCTCCAGTGAGCCTCTGGCTTTGGCTTCCTAAGCGGTGGGAAGGAGGCTTGTGCCCCACCACACCCAGCTTACGCTGCTGTTTAACCAAATGTCATCAAAATCACCTGTTTAATAAAACTTGCTTTCTAGAAGTTTGTCATATTCCATATTAGCATGTTTTTATTGAGCTGCTCACCAGAAAACAACAGACCTGTGGATCAGCGAGCAGTCATCTTTAAGCTAGATTCTTGGTCAATGATTTACTATGACTTTTTCACTGAGTTTAAAAGTTCAGTACTTGAACTTAGAGACATTGAGCAGGTTAAGGCACTTGCCACCAAGGCTGACATCCGGAGTTCAAGTCCTTGGATTGTACATGGTGGAAACAGAGAACTGACTCCTCAAAGTTGTCCTCAGACCCACACATGGGCACTGTGGCATGTACAAGCTCCTCCCCAGTCAATCAGTCAGTCAGTCAGTCAGTCAATCAATGTGATGTTTTAATCACAGTGCTTGTGGGCATGGTAGTGAATACCTTTAATCCCAACACTTAAAAGACAAAAGCAGGCAAATCTCTATGAGTTCAAGGCTAGCCTGGTCTACACATCTAGAGAGTTCCAGGATAGCCAGGGAAAATCATGAAGGCAGCCTCAAAAGCAAAAACAAAAAAACAAAACAATCAAGAAAATTAAAAGCATAGCACTCAGTATCCTGGTTTATGTTTTGTATGACTCATCTAAGCTCCTGACCCATTTTTGTGAGTTGGTGATAGGTATAACTATAGAATGTCAAGTTTAGCATTTAATGTACATGAAGTAACCATCACATTAACTACGTTCTTCAAAAATTACTTCATTTGCCGGGCGGTGGTGGTGCACGCCTTTAATCCCAGCACTTGGGAGGCAGAGACAGGCAGATTTCTGAGTTCGAGGTCAGCCTGGTCTACAGAGTGAGTTCCAGGACAGCCAGGGCTACACAGAGAAACCCTGTCTCGAAGAACCAAAAAAAAAAAAAAAAAAAAATTACTTCATTTATTGTGCATGAGTGCATGTGCGGCATGGTTAATGTGTGGAGGTCAAAGGGCAATTCTGGGGAGTCAGTTCTCTTCTTCCACCATATGGATCCTGGGTATTGAATTCATGTCTTGAGCCTTGACAACAGCCCTACATCAAGTGCATTCACTTTATTAGGTATTTACTGAGATAAACTGTAGCAATAATAAAATTGGAAAAAAAAATATGGCCAGTTGTGATCCCAGTACTCAGGAAGCTAAAGTTGGAGGCTTCCTGTGAGTTTGAGACCAGCCTGGCCCACAGAGTACATCCAAGTCAGCCAGTACTGGACAAAAACAAACACACACAAAAAATCCAAAAACAGAAAAACCGAGGTTTTTCAAATTTCCAAGTGCTGGGATCACAGGCATGTACCATCTGTTCCAGCAACAACATATATGGTTTGTGTGTAAGTGCATGTGTGTGAGTGTGTGTGTGTGTGAGTGTGTGTGTGTGTGTGAGCATGTATGCATGCATGCCTGTGGAGGCCAGAGGACAACTTCTGGTGTTGTGACTTAAGTGCTGTTCGCTCATTTAAAAAAAAATAGAGATTTATTTTTACTTTTTTTTTTTTTTTTTTTTTGGTTTTTCAAGACAGGGTTTCTCTGTGTAGCCCTGGCTGTCCTGGAACTCACTCTGTAGAACAGGCTGGCCTCGAACTCAAAAATCCGCCTGCCTCTGCCCCCCAAGTGCTGGGATTTAAGGCGTGTGCCACCACCGCCCTGCTTATTTTTACTGTTTTAAACTTATATTTATGTGTATGTCTCTGTGTGGATATGTGCATATGAGTATAGGCACCCATCGAGTCCAGAAGAGGGTGCCAGATTCCTTGAATCTGGAGTTACAGGTGAGCTACTCGAGATGGGTGCTTGGAATTGAACTGGAGTCCTCTGGAAGAGCAGGGCCATGTTTCCAGTCTATTGTGTTTTATAAAAAGATAAGGAGAGAAGGAATATGTTTGGTGGATGTGTAGTCAAGTGTCAGGGAAGAGGGTACCTCTGTAGGCCCATGCTGAGGCATCCCTTACCACTGAGGGACCAGCCACAGTATAGTATAGTATAGTATAGAATAGAATAGAATAGAATAGAATAGAATAGAATAGAATAGAATAGAATAGAATAGAATAGAATAGAATAGAATAGAATAGAATAGAATAGGTTTAGTTTATTCAGGGAATGGGGAGGGGAGCTGAGAGGGTAGTAGAGACAGAGAAAGGGAGAGAGAGAGAGAGAGAGAGAGAGAGAGAGAGAGAGAGAGACAGAGAAAGGGAGAGAGAGAGAGAGAGAAGAGGCCAGCCATGACCACGTGGAGAGAGAGGCAGGAGAGGAATGGGGAGAGAGGGAGAGCAAGAAGGCAAGAGCGCAACAGAGAGTGGAGGGGCAAGCAGCCCCTTTTATTATGAGTCACAGTCCCCTTCCCTTTCTTTGAGATTAAGGTCACTCTCACTGACCTGGAACTTGTTAAGCAGGCTAGGCTGATTGGCCAGTGAGCTCCAGGGATCTGTCTGTCTCTGTCTCCCAGCAATGGCGTTACAAACCTATGCTATTATGCCCAGCTTGATTTATGTATTTATTGACTTATTTATTTATTTATTTAGATAGCACCTCTCTATTATAAATCTCTGGCTGTCCTGGAATTCACTATTTAGACCAGACTAGCCTAGAACTTGCAGAGATCCACTTGCTCCCCCACCCCCACCCCCCATCATCACTTGTCCAAGTTGCTTTTAAAGTTTCCAACTAAATAGCTTACTCAGTTGTTTTGGACCCACAGGATATTGAGCGGCTCTTGGGGCTCTTCAAGGCACACAAGAAAGGGACAAAAGCTCATACCGACTTTATTTGAACTTTAGGTTGAATTTAACACTGACAAACTTATGTGACAGTTTCTACTAGCCAGACTTTAGATCGAGAACCACAATCAACATTTGTTAATGAATAAGTCATTCTGATACCTGACACTGTTATGGAAGCTGGGGTACCTTTGGGGTACCACGTGGAGTTTCTATGTATTTTCTTTCATAAAGCTTTCTAACTTGGAGATTCCAAACAGTTCCTTTTCCATCTCAGTAAATATGAGGTTTCAACTAGTAGTTGAAGATATTCTTTTTCTCTTTCCCTCTCTTTAAAATCAAGTAGTGATTTTGTGCCTTATAGATATTGTCTGTGCGGCCACCACTTGGAATTTAGCAGTAAACAAGACATAAAACGGTTTCTTTTCCATTCTCACACCTACTTTATTGTGATATAATTCACATACTATACAGTTCACCAAGGCGTGCAATTCAATAGTTTAAGCATATACACGGAGCTGTACTTCTGTCACTCACCAAAAGAAATTCCAGTAGCAATGATGTCACTTCTAATCCCCGCCCCCGTGAAAATTTGCAGGTCAAATAAATGGCTCACATCCAAGTGTCAGGAGACAAAGCAAATTACGGTTGGTAAGGTCAAAATTGAGGCGGGTCTTCCTGGCCACCTGCACCACTGGTGCCCTCATGACACTAAGGCATCTTGTGATCAATTGGCGCGCGCGCGCGTGTGTATTTGCGTGTACAATGTTTTAAAAGACACACAGCTTCCGGTAGGGAACCGCAGCGTGCTCTACCTGAGAACAAACAGCTAGGCAACACGTCCCGGGCCACACCCATGCCCCAGAAGCACGCAGGAAGACACTGACTTCGCGCTGGCGCAGACTCGGCTTCCGATTGGCCAGGCCTGCCCGAGGGCCCGCCTTCCGCATGCTGTCTAACCTAGGGTCACGGTCTTCGCGAGCACCCGCGCGGGCTGAGCACAGAAAGGGGACTTCAGCTGGTTCTCGGCCGGAGAAGGCTCGATCCTTTGGCGAGGGCAGACCCTGGGCTGTTCTAGGGGGCTCACAAGTCATCCTTTGTACGTTTTCCGCAGATAAGGGCGGGGCCTCGCCTGCTCCCGCCCCGGAAGCGGAAGTGCAGGCGTCAGGGGGTTCTGTCCACTGTGAGCCCGGCCCGTGTGGCAGCGGTTCCTCTCGGTAATTCTATCGCACCCTCTTGGCTGCTAGCTGTCGCATTCTTCATCTCACTATGTTGTCACTAGACTTTCTAGATGATGTGCGGCGGATGAACAAGAGGCAGGTGAGATTGGTAGCCCCTTCTGCCAGGGTTACTCTGGTCCCTTTGCCGTTGCGGGGGCCCCGCGGACTTCTGAGCCGGATTGAGGGCCTGCGTGGGTCGACTGCCTGTATGGATCATTTCTTTCTTTGCAGTCTGTAGCCAAGGCCTCTTTGCCCCCATTCATAGCACCAGATTCGGGGGACTGAGAGGGAAGGCGAACCCCTGCGATCCCTCCCAAGGAGGCAGGGGAGTAAGTGAAAACTGCAGGGCGCTTTGTAAATAGGACTTTTGGACACTATAAGGCGGCAGGCTTGACTGTCTCTGGTGGGGCTCAGGGGATAGCCATTGCAGGTCCCACGAGAGCCGTTTTGATGCTTTCATTGTATAGTCACCTTTCAGCCCAGCTAGACCTCGGTGGACTTCATCCATTTTAACTTGGGTCACTCTAAGCTCGGAGTTGAATCTATTATACCACTTGTGTGCCAGTTTCCTTAGCACAAAGGGGACAGTCCTCTGAATCTTTGATGACAGATGACAGTGGGACAGAAATCTTGAAATTTAAGTCTCCAGATTTTATCCTTAAATCTTGCTCTCTGGCCTTCTAGCTCATGTACTAAAAGGTTCTGAGAACACTGTCACCTTTTTATCTCCGGAACCAAATGTTCTGGTAGCAATTGACCTTTCCTCCCCCCCACCCCCCAGCATTTTGGTATTAAGAATTGTCTCATTTAAAAATTTGGGTTTTTTGGAATAGGACATTTGATTTGTACTGTTTATAGTTATAACAGAAAAGTAGACCCATCTCTTCTTAGACATACCTACAAAACTAAGACATTCCCATCAGAACAGCTTTAAGGAGTAGCTGTCCCTTAGCTGGCTTTTGTTTGTATGGACTCCTATTTTGGTGCTAGGGATCAATCCCAGGGCCTTGCATTCATCACAGGCCACCAGAGCTGCACTCCTTAGTTTTGAAAGACCTTATTTTTATTACTTTATTTTGAGACAGTCTTGCTATGCAGTCCTCCTGCCTCAGCCTCGTGAGAGGTAAATCTATGGATATATGGCATCACTGGCTAGTATGACTCTGTCCATTGTAAAGCACACATATGTTTCCATATGTAGCCCCTGCTACCTGGAACTCACCGTGTAGCCCAAGCTGGCCTTGGACTGGACGCCTGCCTTTGCCTCTTTAGTGCTACACTTAGCATATCAGGGTAAATAATCATGTTTTCTTTTGTTTGTTTGATTTTCAAATGTAGTGCTGAGAATCATGCCTAGCACTAGGCAAGTGATCTGTCACTGAGCATGTATCCCCATCTTTGTCACTGAGCAGATATTTCTCCCCATCTGGAAGGCTTCTTTCTTTCTTAATTTCTTTCTTTCTTAATTTCTTTCGTTCTTTTATTCTTTTTTTCTTTTTCTTTTTTTTTTTTTTTGAGACGGGTTCTCTGTGTAGCCCTGGGTGTCTTAGAACTCACTCTGTGGACCAGGCTGGCCTAGAACTCAGAAATCCACCTGCCTCTGCCTCCCAAGTGCTGGGATTAAAGGCATGTGCCACCACTGCCTGGATCTTTCTTTTCTTTTTCCTTTTTCTTTTTTTTTTTTTAATTAATTTATTTATTTTATGTATATGAGTACACCATTGTTCTCTTCAGACACACCAGAAGAGGGCATCAAATCTCATTACAGATGGTTGTGAGCCACCATGTGGTTGCTGGGAATTGAACTCAGGACCTCTGGAAGAGCAGTTGGTGCTCTTAACCACTGAGCCATCTCTCCAGCCCCCTTTTTCCTTTTTCTTTTCTTTTCTTTTCTTTTTTTCTTTTTCTTTTTTTTTTTTTTTGAGATAAGGCTTCATGTGTAGACCAGCTGGTTTGGAAACAGAGATCCACCTGCCTCTGCCTCTACCTCCCAAATACTGGGATTGAAGGCATATTGCTTGGCCAGGTCACACCACCCCCCTCTTATTCCATTCCCAGAAGAGAAATTTTGTGTATGTGTGTTGCTGGTGATCATACCCAGGGCCTTTCATGTTCTTTGTTGTAAGACAGAGTTTCTCTTCCTGTTCTTGAACTCATTCTGTATACCAGGCCAGCGCCTGGAACTCTGCCTGCCTCTGCCTCCCAAGTACTAGAATTTGAAAGCATACACCACTACCTCCACAACCCCAACTTGGTCTTTCAGTTTCTAAGCATGTGCTCTACCAATAAATTACACCTGTAACCATTGTTTTTAAATTTTTTTTTTACTTTTAAAAAAGTGTGTATATTCATCATGTATATGTCTGCTGCTGGGTGAGGCCAGAAGAAGGCATCGGGTCCTGTGGAATTGGATTTACAGTTGTGAGCTGCCATGTGGATACTGGAAGGCAAACCTAGGTCTTTTCAAGAGTAGCAAGTTCTCTCAGTGCTAAGCTGTGTCTCCAGCCCTTTACTTATTTTTTTGTTATTATTACGTGTGTGTGAATGCGGGTATACGCAGTTTCAGACTGCATGTGACAGAAGACAGCTTTCGGGAGTTGGTTCTCTTCTACCACCTTCTTGAGGTAGGGCCTTGCTTGTTCCTGCCATTTAAAGTACCCCAGGGTAGCTGGTCCATGAGCTATAAGCAGAGCTCTCTGGCTAGTGCCCTTCCCTCCCTTTTAAGGTATATTTATTTTGTGTGTGCAGATATGTGTATGGGTGTGAGTGTGCCATGGCATACACATAGAAGTTAGAGATTGACTTGTCAGAGTCAGTTCTTTCTGCCAGAGGCCCAGGGATTCAACTAAGGTCGGTAGGTGTGGTAGCAAACACCCTTACCAGCTGAGCTGTTGTTTGCCCGTGGCTTTTTGAAAGACAACTTTTCCTTGAACAAAGCATGATAGTCACGTCTATAATCCCAGCATTTGGAAGGCTGAGCTAACCTGGGCAACGTAATTGAAGACTGGCATGTAATTAAAATCAAGATCTTGTCCCCAAAAGAGAAAAAAACAACCAACCAATAAAAAGCCCTACAACTGAAATCCATGGTGGTGCAGTCCCAGCACTTTGAAAGTGGAGATTGGGGTGTGTGTGTCCAGAATTAAAGGGTTAAAGGATGTCTTCTGGGATTTGGTTCTCTTCTTCCCATCCCATGGATCCTGGACATCAGCTTCTTTTTCTTTGAATATTATTGTTACAAACATACATGTATGTGTGTGTTTGTGTGTGTGTTTGCATGTATAAGTGCAAATAAGTATAACCTGTTGAGTCTTCTTCTTGGTGGTGTGTATATGGTTTAAAGGCTGGCCACTCTACATTTGACACTGATAAGGGGGCTCATCCCTGGGAGGGTAATTCTCCTTCTTCCAGAAATCATTAGCTGCCTGTAGTTCTTTATCTAAGGGTAGGACCCTCAGAACTTTCCCCCGTCTACCTTAGCAGGTCCATTGCTCTGGTCCTGTTATGGAGCTGTCTGTAGGAGAGGCTGCTGGACAGCAGGCTTCCTGGAGCTCTAGCTCTTACAGTCTGTTCACCCTTTTCTGTCCTCAGAGCCGTGGATGCAGAGCTATGCTGCAGATGCATCCCTGGTGCTGGACTCCCAGCTGTCTGTGGATCTCTGTACTGTGTGCAGTTACTGTAAAGTTACTGTACTGTGTGCAGTTACTGTAAAGGGAAGCTCCTTTACTAGATGTGGTAGTTACACTCGTGGCCTGTGCACAGAACCACCCTGCTGTTTGAGACAGATCTTTCCACTAACATGGAGATCTACCTTTCCTCTAGAGAGGCTGCTCAGTGAGGCCAGGGCCCATTTGTCCCTGCTTTCTCAGTAGCAGGGTTACAGGCAAGCACTGCCATGTCTAGCATTTATGTGAGTGTTGGGGATCTAAACTTAGGACTCAGGGCCTTACTTTACCCACTGAGCCACTTTCTTAGTCCCTGTGGGTTTTGTTGTTATTACTGTTGTTGGGTTTTATTTTTTATTTTTTTCTTTGTTTTGAGACATAGACTCATTCTAGCCTGGGTTAGTCGGCAACTCTCTAGGTAGCCCAGGCTGGCCTCAAGTTTATGTTGGTTCTCCTTTCAGAACCTCTCAAGGGCTGGCATCACAAGGTTAAGCCATTACACTTGGTTTACATTTTATTTATTACTATTCTTTTAATTGCCTGTTCTCCTTATGTTGTACAGGCTAATCCCAAATATGCAATCTCCCCACATGAGCCTCCTGTATACCAAGATTATAAACATGAGCTATCCTACCCAGCAAATTTAAACAGTTTTGTTATTTTGTCTTGTGTGTCCTGTCTTTGTCTCTATTCCCATCCCCAAGCTGAGAACCAAACCCAAATTTAAACATTTTTTAAAATATTAAACTTAGAGCTGGGAACAGTGGTGATACATGCCTTTAATCCCAGGACTCAAGGGGCAAAGGCAGGTAGATCTCTGAGTTCAAGACTAGCCTGGTCTGCAAAGAAAGTTCCAGGACTTTCAGTATTATACCTAGAAACCAAGTTTTGGAAAATAACGTAAACAAAATTTGGATCCTCAACACGTATGAAAAAGCTGGGCATGGCAACATGTAACAAGAAACTCAGTGATAGGGGGTGTCGTGGATCAAATAGGAGTGGCCCCCAGAGACTCATGTGTTTGATGTTTGGCCCGTAGGAATGGCACTAATAGGAGGTATGGCCTTGTCAGAGTGAGTGTGGCCTTGTTGGAAGTATGTCACTGTGGGGTGTGGGCTTTGAGGTCTATGCTCAAGCTATACCCAGTGGGGTACATAGCCCTTCTGCTGCGTATGGATCAAGGTGTAGACTTCTCAGCGCCTCTAGCACCATGTCTACCTGCACGCTTCCACGATTCCTGCCATGATGATAATGGACTAAACCTCTGAAACTGTAAGCCAGCCCTAATTAAATGTTGTCCTTTATAAGAGTTGCTGTGGTCATGGTGTCTCTTCAGAGCAATGAAACCCTAAGACGAGGGTTGACCATTTAGTATTGGATAACCAACTGGTGTACTCTTTTCCTAGGGAAGATTATTCCTTGGTGTACTCTTTTCCTGGGGAAGATTATTTTCCGACCATCAGCTTTCCTTAGTTGCCTGTAGTTCTTTTTCTAGGGTTGGGGCCTCGTGAGCTTTACCCCTTTCATATCAGCATGTGTATTGTTCATGTCATGCTCAGCCAGTCAGGCTACTGAGACTTATAGGAGTAGCTTCTGACACCATCTTACAGCAGGATCACTTGCTGATCCTCTGGCTCTTCTCTTCTCTCACAGGGATCCTTGGTCCTTGGGTGCAGACGTTGTGATGGAGATGTGTCTGCCGGGACCGGGCTCCACAGCTCTGCACTGTGATCAGTTAGAGTTTTCTGTAATGGACCTTGTCTATCACAAGAGAAGTGAGGGCCGAAGACTACACTTACCTGTGGGTATAAGGACAAAGGCTCAGAAATAGTTAGAGGTTAGGCTGTTCTAGTAAAGTGGTGGTTGTAGGTTCTCTAAGTTGCATGACTTCACTAGCCCTGGGTAGTTGGCTAGGTTTCCAGTAGCAGTTGTGCTTTCCCTCTTGTTGAGTGAGTCATAAGTCCAGTTAGAGTGCTGTTGGCTACCACTAAGGTATGTGTGCCACTCTTTCATTCTTACTGTGACTGTCCCATGGTGGTCACTGTTGTGAGATTCATGGGTATGGTAACTTACTGTAACATGGTGGTCACTGTTGTGGTTCATGGGTATTG